TTTTTTTGTCTGTCTTTCTCTTGTTGTTTGTCGTTCCACCTATTTTTTCTGAGTACTTTCTGTACGTCTAGGTAAGCACCTTCAGGAAGTGCTAAATAGTCGGTGTTGAGGTGTTTGGAGAGCCTGTAACACTACTATGGGGGGCGCTCTGTTCGCGATGCCTGTCTGGTGCATATGGTCTATGGGTGATGAACGACGTCCGTTGGACACTTCCTGGTTCAGCAGGTGGTGGGAATCAACGGTCTGCGGGGTTCACTTGTGGTGTGAGCGGGTGACAAACTTCTTTGGTCCACGTTGGATGTGTGGACTGCCTTGTCGGCGCTCCTCGGCTACCGTGCAGCCCATCCCGCTTGCTGCCCATGTCCTCCCTTGCAGCTGGTGTGTTTGCCATGTGGTTTGCCTGTTTTGTTGGTGTTGCCTTGTGCGTTGCTGCACTGCTGCCTTGCTTGCCATCCACATGCCACGTCTTTGCCTTTTCATGCGATGCACTTGTGTGTTGTGTGGTTTGGCTGCGTTGCTGGCGCTGCCTTGTGCTTCGCTACACTGTTGCCTAGCTGCCCATCCACTTGCCTTGCCTAGTCTTTCCGTGCATCGTACTTGTTTGCCTTGTAGTTTGGCTGTTTTGCCAGCACTGCCTTCTGCCTCGCTGGATCGTTGAGTTGCTGCTTGTGCTGCGGTCTGTCGACTTTCAACAAGAGTCAAGGGTTCATGACTCAAAGCATCAATATGGGGATTCCGAAGATTGCCGAGGGTGAACAGCCTCCTGATGAGTTGGTGCAATTCTGAAGAAAACAGCTTTTCTTTTCTTTCCTTTTCTTTTGTGTTTTTTTTAATTATAAAACAGGTCCTTATGGTTCTTCTGACTTCATTTCCATTCTGGGGAGCGTCAATCTGGTTCCCATTCCACCAGCACGTCAGACATATAAAAATGACACCCACGTGGAGCTCTGTTATGTCTCGTGGAGCTCTGTCTCGTCGCAGGGAGCTGTGCGAGGTATAGCTGACGCGCACGGTCGGAGTGGTATCTCTTCCTTCTGTTTGGCCGAAGGACCCCTGAGCAGCATTGATTGCTCCAATTACTTGGAGGATTGACTTTCAGCTTGCCTTCCCTCCATGTTTCCTCTCAGGTTTGACCTGTGTAAATGACCTGCAAAATTGCAGACTGAGAAACTTGCTGGTTTCTGAGTTTTGTCGTTGGTTTGACTGATTTGCTGAGATTTCCGTATTCTGCTGGGATTCCAAGTATGTATGTGTGCATGATCACTCAGTTTCCGTGTGCTTGCCTGCCTGTATGATTGCATGTGTGTCTGAGCCGCTGGAGAATCTGTGTGCTGGAAAGGCCCGCCGGCCTGGTACTTACCTGTGACTGTGTCGTACAGATGGAGCGGGACATTAGTGAGGGGTACGCCTGTGGAGGCTGGAAACACCCAAGGAGCAGTAGGTAGGCAGAATAAGACAAAAAGGCAGTACCTTTACAGGCCAATGTAGAATTTAGGAGTCCGGTAGGCTTAGAGGCAAGGGAGTGCTACCGTCTTCACCCGAAAATAACGCCCGGGCATTAAATTCAACTTACCCTAAAAAGATCAGATTTTCGTTCTTACTCTCTTTTTCTCAAATAGAACACCCCTTCGAATATGATGCCCGGGCATTATATTCGAATAGAACGCCCGGGCGTTATATTTGAATGTTCAATGGGCAGAGTGCCTTGTAGAGGTAGTATACATGGGTTTGAAAGAGCGGGGAGGGGGGTATATATGGGTTTTAAGTTTTAACGGAAGTTGAAAGGGGTTTTGACTTCCATTGGGCATGGGCATATTTTGGTTCGGTTTTTGTTTTTATTTTTTATTTCTGATTTTATAAGGAATTCCTTTTTTTTTTAATACAAAAAAGGGCGGCCAGAGTGTCGTATGATCCAGGCACTACGGCCTGGTTCATACGACTGCCGCTTTTGAATTATAAAAGCCGGAAAACGGTCTGGCGTCCCTCACATCATAGAAAAGGTTACAATCCATTCCAAAACTGCAGTGCAAATTTAACAAAATGACAAAATCCCTATTGTGCACGAAACGGATAACCTAAAAAGAAAACAGCAAACCCTACAAAGGCAAAGCCTACCACCCTTGAATATCGCCCAACCGTGAGATCCACCCTGCCACCCGCGCGGCAGGGGTCTGTGACCACAGACCCTGCAAACCCAACCACCTCCTTGCGATTCAAAGCAGATCACGCCAACCCCCACGTTGCCTACCCTAAAACACCAACTCCCTCCATGATGGTGCATCAGCAAAACCCTCAGAAATACCCTACCACCCGCGTGGCAGGGGCCAAAGGCCCCGCAAAGCCCACCCGCCTCCTCGCGATTTAGGGTAATCCACACCCCCGTCCACGTACACTCCCCACATGGGATCTTCACCTCCCTCCATGATGAAGATCCTACGGAGCAACGCTCTCCAGTCCCATAAGAAAAGGATGATAGAAAGGACCCCAACCACTTGTGGAGAAACGAACGCGATTCCAAAATATCAACGAACCTGCACAATTGCCCTATCACCCACGCGGCAAGGGTCGAAAGACCCTGCAAACCCACCCTCCTCCTCGCAATTTAGGGCAAACTGCTCCCCCAGTCAGCATCGACCCCCTAAAAGCCCCGCCGCCCACCATGACAGGGTCTTCGCAAAGCGACACTCCCATGTTCATTTCTCCACTTCACAGTCAACCAAACAACACACGGGAAAACCAAAAAACGAAAAGGCAAAAACCAAAATCACTAATTAGACTCTTAACCTAATCTAACAGCAGTTAAAAATCTTTCCTAAGACGGCAACCAGAACAGCAAACAAAAAAAAACAAAAAACGAAAAGGCAAAACCAAAATGACTAATTAGACTCTTAACCTAATCTAAAAATAGTTAACAATCACACCTAAAACGGCAACGGAAAACGACCACATCCACGAAAAAAACATTCCTCTATCATGACGAGGAAGAAGCTTGCCAGCAGTTGCCAAAAATGAACTGAACACATCCCTATCGTGCCAAAGTCGCCCACGCCTTCACAGCAGCAAGGGGACTAAGACCAGAGTCGCAACAGTCCTTATAAACGTCTTCCAACAAACAACGGCTCCATCTCCATCACCATCCGGCACCAGCGATCCACAAAGCTACGTGTCTAAGACCAGGGGGCCGAAGCCCCTGATCAAGCTTCGTTTATGGTCTGTTGGCGGCCTCGTGGTCAGCCACACATGCGACTCTCTCCCTTTGCGACCTCACGAGGATCGCCGGCTCCAACCGACCAAGGCCAGCCATAGCCAGGGCCGTGATAGTACCCCTGCTGGACAGCAAACCATCCCGCGCCCACACGCGCGCTTCACCCCCTTGCGTCCATGCCATTCCGCCTGCGAGTTCTGGCATGCACGCAGTTGCACTGTGTGCGTTAGCGATCCCCCACCACTTGTCGCCGCCTTCCCTTTTTTCATTTTATTTTTTATTTTATTTTATTTTATTTATTTTATAAGGAATTCTGTAGTAACCCTCAGCCAAAAGATGGTCGCATTGCAATTCTGGACAACATATTGTTTTTATAGAATTTTTTTTAATTTTGTTTGTTTTCAGAATTTTGGGCCCCCACCAAAGTTGCCACCAATTTACTGAATATAACGTCTGGGCGTTATAAACAAATATAACGCCCGGTGGGCGATATATTCATATACAACACCCAGGCGATGCAGCAACTGCAACTGCTGGAACTGGGTCTGGTGCTTCGACACTCCAAACCCAAACCGGTCCTGTCTGGTCTGCAGGGGTGGACATTTACCATAGGCAATGCTTGCTCCTCAACTCATTTTTCTCCAGATATGAGCAACAGGTACCCAGACCCACACCCACCCGCACCCGCCCAGCCACGAGGCATTGGGTCAGGTGTGGGTCTTGATAAGCTGGCATGCGTGGGATGAGGGTGGGCCTATGCGAGCAAGCCTGGGTGGGTGACGGGCGCGTCAATGTTAGGCCTGGGTCACCCAAATGGGTGGGTGACAGGCGGGTAAGCGCTAGGCCTGGGTAACCCGACCCACAGACCCAGGACAACCCATAAGAACCCTCCCCCCCACCCCCCACCCCGCCCTAATAGATATTTTCCAGCTGTGGTCGATCTGTGGAGTTCAAAAGTTGGAGGCCTAGGAAACAGAAAGTCTTCACCTTGGGCCCCCTGGAAAAAAAAGTAGTGGTCCTGGAAAAAAAAGAGCCGCGCCAGCGGCAAATTGAAATTTGGGGTCCTCCTTGAAAAAATGTGTCATGCTCTACCAGTGGCCGCTGGACCTTGGCCCAAACAACAGGATTTTCGCTCCCATTAAAACAGCAGGGATCGAACCTAACCACAGCAAGTGGCAAGGTTCGCTCCCCAATTTCAAACTTGTGGAGCAGTTTGAATTTCCGCGCCGCCATCCAAGGACGGTGCAAGGTGGAGATGCTTCAATTTTTTTGCGCCGTCATCCAAGGATGTCATGTTGCTATGGTACGTGTAAATGTTCGAAGGGACTGAGACAATGGGGAACGGGCAGGTGGGGGTGGAAAATAATTAGGTACCGGGTTCGGGGGGGTAATTTTGTTCTCGCGGGTGTGGGTGGGTCAGGGTAAAGGTTTTTTCACGGGTGATGGGCCGGTTGGGTGTGGAAGGGAAAAAAAAAAAAAAAAACACTTGGGTGGCTTGGGTCCCCTTGAGATTTTTTTAATTTATTTTTTTGAGGGCGGGCTGTACCTAAAAGAAATGTGGGCGGGTTGGGTGAATTGCCAATTCAAAAAAAGAATGCTCATCTCTGTTTTTCTCTGCAACCCAAGCACTGAGTCGACTCTTGCACCATTTCATAGTAGTTTGCTCTGGTGGTGAGTACTGAGAACCCTGTGAAGTTCGTCTTTTCTCTGTTCTATTTTTTTTTCCCTTCGCTTCCCTCCACCACCCCTTTTCCGTCCACCACCCCTTTTCCCTCCTCGCTCCCCTTGTGTAGAACTCGCTCCCCTTGTGTAGAACTGGCTCCCCTTGTGTAGAACTCCCTCCCCTTCCCCTTCCCCTTCCCCTTCCCCTTGTCCCTCCTCGCTCCCCTTGTGTAGCGATACTAAATTCATAAAAATGAGCATCATTAAGAAAACAGACAAAATATAAGGTGCAGCTGTGCTGAAAAGTAAACAGGAGTGAATGCATTCCATCCTCCCCCTTTACTCTGCCTCCTTTTCATATCGTGCAAGTGGGCCGTTATGGTCCACGGGGATGTGGGAAGCTTGCGCTCAACTACATCTACATGGCGAAGCTCGTACTTGAGAGATGCAGTTAAGAGGGAGTTGGAAGAACAAATAAAAAAGAAACCACGAAAAACGCCCAAGGAAGGAAAGAGAACAAAGAACTGCACAGGAAAAGGAAAACAATGGTTTTAGTTTGCTGCATGATGTCTGCTTTTTTTTTTCAGTTACTTCCCAAAGTGCACTCCTTTAATCAATAGATATGTGAGGAAAAAGTGTTTCAATTTCGGATCTGCTCATCTGGGTGGAGAAGGGGTTGTCGTGGTGACAGTCAAAAACACATACACACACCCCGCTGCAGTGCCACATGAACTCACACACACCAGTACACAATCCCCTCCCTCGTGGTGGCGGTCAAAAACACACACACACACACACACACACACACACACACACACACACACACACACACACACACACACACACACACACACACACACA